CTACTTACAAACTCACCTCGACTTACGAGCCATTTTCCGCCCGTTCCACGTGGTCTGCAGCCATTTTCCGCCCATTCCATGTGGTCCGCGGCCAATTTTCCGCCCATGCCACATGGTCTGCGGCCATTTTTCCGCCCGTTCCACGTGGTCTGCAGCCATTTTCCGCCCATTCCATGTGGTCCGCGGCCAATTTTCCGCCCATGCCACATGGTCTGCGGCCATTTTTCCGCCCGTTCCACGTGGTTCGCAGCCGTTTTTCCGCCCCTGACGCGTGGTCCGCGGACGCCGGAACGGATTAACAGTAATTACATTAAACCTTATGGGAAAATTTACTTCGACTTGCGACCAACTCGACTTGCAATCAGAGTCACGGAATGGATTAAGTTCGTAAGTAGAGGTACCACTGTATTGCTGTTTTGTTGCAACAATATACTGTAAAACATGAAGCTTTCCATTTCTTTTTTCTTTTTTGACATCAGAATGAATAGTTTCTATTTCAAGTTAATTGGAGAAGGTATCAAAGAAATAAGGTGCAGCCAGGTGGTGGGGACACATTGATACTCTCTTGGCCAGAGTGTGTCCTCTGACAAACGTGGAAGCAGTCTTGCACATCATGAAGATAACCTGAGAGAGTAAAAAGTCAGTAAGGCACACCATGAAACTTGTATTTGTTTGGTTCTTTTTAAAGGCACTTGGCATGTTGTTCTGGCATAAGCACAACATTGAGAAATCCCTTGCAGATCTCCCGAATTTTACTCCTTTTCCAGATGAGTGGACAGTTGAAGATAAAGTCCTTTTTGAACAAGCTTTCAGTTTCCATGGAAAAAGCTTTCACAGAATCCAACAAATGGTAAGGAAATAGACCATTTAGAGTATTTCAAAAGGCTCAAGAGAATAAGTGGGGTGTGATTGAAGACAGTGGCTAAGGCAAACTATGGCAGGCTAAGAAGCACATTTTTTCCCAGATGAAAAATTATTTATTCTGTTTTATTTTGGTCTAGTGGATATATGCAGGAACTACACTGAAACAAAAAATAATTTAAAATTCATTGAAATAATAAAATGATGATGCCATAGGAAAACAGTTCCTCAATATTTTAAAAGATTTTCCAGATAAGAGTTCAGAAGTATCCAGAATAAGTGAGATAAATTAGTAAAATATGGACATTAATAAAAAGATAAATTTTTAAAAATCCACAGAATTTAAAAGAAATTAAGAAAAAATAACAATAAAGCAGGGATGAAAAGATACAAAAACATATTTCCTGTTAAGTGGTATAAAAGCATCAGAAGAAAAGAAAGTTGAAGTGAAGTAGAAAATAAACTCTAGCTAGGAAAATTCAGACAATGAAAGTACTTGTCTCTCTGTTTGGGGGGAAGGCAGCAGGATCATTGCAGAAAGCTGCAAAATTGAAATGATGCAGCTGCGCTCATCCAGATTCTTCTTTTGCTAAAAGCAGGTATATTTGTGTGTTTGTATATATAGACAGATACACATATATACTTACACACACAAACACACACACACACCATATCTATTTATAATAACCCCAAACATACTTGTGTTCTGATTAGTTCATTATTAGTGGTTAAATCGTGTATTTGGTGCCAATTAAAACTGACTGCATACTTACTAATTACTGAAATAAATGTTGGTGTGTTATTTATTCTTTTTCATTTACAAAAGTAAGAGATCTACATTTATTCATTCCAAATTTCCTTTCCTTGATTGTGAAGAAGTTGTATTTAGCAGTTAACATAAATCTGTCTTCCAAGTTCCATCCCTTAATAGAAGCTGGAACTTGAGAATCACTTAGCTTTTAAAAAAAAATTAGAAATAAAGAGAAAACACTTATGTAATATTATTATTATTATTATTATTATTATTATTATTCAGTAATAGATTTATAAGGCTAATGTTATTTCATCTGAATTAATGATTAAGATAAATCCTGCTTTCCAAGATTAAAAAATAACATACACAAATCTCCTATGTTCCATCAAAAGAGGACCTTCTATGGCAATGTTCCTCAACCTTGGCAACTTTAGGATATGTGGACTCAATTCCCAGAATTCCCAGCCAGAATGGTAATTGGGGAATTCCGGGAGTTGAAGTCCACACATCTTAAACTTGCTAAAGTTGAGAAAAACTGCTCTATGGCAAAGTTTCCATATAACAGTCATGAAACAGTAAGGCATGTATGTAAGCTAAAAAAAAAAAAATCAATATTTTTTTCCTAACTTTTCTGTTTATCTTTTTTCCTAAATATTCTAATTAGCTTTTTATTGTTCCACTATTAAGCAAGGACAATTCACAATAAGTTTTTATTTGCTTATTTCAGTTGGAGGAGCTATTCAACTTTGTGCTAATTTTTAAGGAAAAAACTAGCTTCCATGATTCCATCCAACTATTAAAAAAGTTACCAGTTGCCTTACTCAGTGGCATATGGTCCAGGGGTCTTATTATAATAGTCTTCCGCAATTCAGCAAGCATGTCTGTTGAGCTCTGCTTCTTTGTTTTGGAAAGAGGAAAAAGTCAATAGGCCTTACTAACTTTATCCCAGGACCAAAAGAATATGGTAAAAAATACGTAGATTAATACTAGCCATCTGTCACATATATTTCTCTAGAATGCTTTTGTTTCCCATATGAGTACAGAGACATTCTAGAAAAATGAAGGTGGCATGTGGGTATTTGCTCAGCTGGCACAGGTTGCCATAGGCAAAATCTCCACATGCACCACTTGTCATCTAGCACTGTTAGCCTCTTTCAGAGGCTCAGCCTTAAATATAGCCCTCACAGTACTGCCAAAGATGTGACAAAACATTGTCTTTGGTCATTCCTTTTTAAATGGAAAATTAAACATCTTACTGCCAAATTCCACATTTGGCCCAGATATTATATTTGTATAACAAGGGAATCACATAAATATAAATGCTTTAATATTTGAGGGTGCATATAGCATTAAGTATCTATATGGGACAAAACAAAAAAGCACTTTAAAATATTGGAAAGGAGAAACAGTTGTCAAAAGCTAAGAAGCTTCAAGGTAAAAGTTGACACAATACTTATAAGCTCAGTTATATAATTTCATCAATCCTTTTGTGTTTTAATAGATGCTTGTAATATTTTATCCTATCATAGTGAGACTACTTAACAGCTAGCTTGTAGAACCTAACTCCTGCCTTCAAAGCCCACCCTGTTTTTATCAATATCTGTGTTTATAATTATAAGGAAACATAATTGCAGCAAATGGGTTTAAATGCATATTTTATTTTTTATGTTTTATTCACACTGAGAAATGTTCTTGATATTTGAAGAGCTTCCTGTTTTACTATTAAGCATCAATAATAAGTTTGCATTTTCTTTAGGAAATTACACCTTATGATATAGTCTTTTTTTCACATTTACCAAACTATGTGCCACCATATTTTTCATAGCATTTATAACCAGTGTCTGCATACTCTTACCATGTTTTAGCTTCCAGACAAGACTATTGCAAGCCTTGTAAAATATTACTATTCCTGGAAGAAAACACGTTCTAGGACAAGTTTAATGGACCGCCAGGCTAGAAAGCTAGCTAATAGAAATAATCAAGGTGATAGGTAAGCAATACAACATCTTTTTTAAACAAGTAACTTGTTTAGAGAGAGTAGTCCTATTTGTTTTTGTTTTCCTTTGACTGTTTCTAATCCAAGGAAGTATGTTCTGTGCCAAATTTGCCCAATTTGGTGCCTCTCAGTGTGTTGAAAGTACATGTCTCAGCATGGCAAACACTGAAATTCTGGGACTTAAGGTTCCCAACACTTCTGGAGGACATCCAGTTGGGGAAAGCTATTCTGTTTCTCTGTACCTTTGTTTTTGCTAGGCAGATGGATAAACCTTTCATTTCTTTATGTCAGAACAGGGAATTACTCTAATTATAGCCATAGATAATTTTGTGTGCTTATAACCAATGTAAGTAAAAAGATGTGCCATATGCAGCATGTTGGACCTGGAGATCTCATGTATAGTTCTTCTACGGGTAGAAACTACTGGACAGACACTTCTAAATATCTTAAAGGGAGAGGGGGTACTTTTAGATTTATTTACAGCGCCTGTGCAGTGGCTGAGAATCTTTCTATAATTACATGGATTTGTTTTCGATAATTGATAAGCAGTATAATTTTAAAAAAAGACAGTACACATTTTCTTTCCAATGCATACATATAAGACCACTTGCAGTTGATTGTGAATGTAGTGAATGTAGTCAACATTTCTGTTTCACACTAGACTTCATTGCTAGACTTCCTTTGTAATGGATTCTGATTTCTGAACATGTAACAACATATCCATAGTTTAGGGAATACTAGTAGTACAGATACTCATTTTTTCCCTCAACCCTTTTGCTAGATTTGACAAGGCAGAAGCAAATGTCTTTTCCTACCCATCCCAATATTTCTGATTGCAGCAGAGAAAAGCACAATGATTTTGTATCATGGACCAAGTATTTCAGTCATCTTCTACCCACACCAAAGCAGGTGTTTTCCTAGGAAAAATTATTAGATGACTACATGGAATCCCTGTTCATTATGTTTTATACTCTCAGAGAGGAACTTGTTATGCAGAAGAGAATGCTTAATTGCAGATTTCTGTAAAAGGAGTAAGGATTTTTTAGTAGTCTTGTATATTGGCCTAAGATGCTTTAAATAAGCAGGAAATATTTTAATGTACTTAGTATGGATATTTTTTTTTAAATTACTTTAAATCTGATATTCATACAATTAAGACGTGGAATTTTAATATTTCTTAGTTGTGTATTTAAAAATAACTGAATTATTTTCTCTGAACATTAAGCCTTTGTTATAATATTCAAGTAGACATCTAAAAGTGACATTTTATTATGCAGAATACAAATAAAGACAAAAGCTATTTGAGTAGTTAGGGCAAAAATTGAGTTGTGAAAGGAAATACTGACTAATCATTTTCTATCCTCAGCGATGATGATGTTGAAGAACCTCACCCTATGGATGGAAATGATAGTGATTATGATCCCAAAAAGGAAAGTAAAAAAGAGGTAATACAAACTGAAATTAAATTATTTATATGAACTAAAGATGGGGGAAATCTTATAATTGGGAGATCTATTTTTATTATTATATTTTGGTCTTCAGAGGCTGCAGTGTGTGATAGGAGCATTATGACGTCATTAAGGGACTGTAGCAGGGATTTTCATCCTCTCCCTCACCCTGCATTTATGGGCAGAATTTAAGTTTTTGGGGATTGCTGAGTCTGTCAAAGGTTTAATTTATACCTTTTCCTCCTGAAAATTCATTGGAATTTATTTATTTAGAACATGGATATCTGTATAATTACTACCTATAATTATATTTTCTTCTCATTTCTAATCCAAGTAGTTATTCATGCCAAAGTCATGTAACATTACTTATGGCATCATAAGGCATCATAAAGTTTGAGAACCCCAACTTATCTGATTACATGTTAGCATTGTAGCCTGTTTCTGCCAAGCAAAACCTATAGAATAAAACTGATTTCATTGTCTAGTCTGAGCCATATGTCACATGAGAACTATGTGTTAAGAGAGATTTTAGAAAGTTTAAATAATGTGATACAATTAATAATGCTTTATTTAAAAGAGCTCCTAAAGCAATAACTTGTTTTTAAAGTGTCATGCTTAATTTAAAAAAAAAACTTTTTGAACATTGCAGGGGAATAACGAGCAGCCTGTGCAGTCCAGCAAAATAGGATTAGGTAGAAGAGAATATCAAAGTTTGCAACATCGTCATCACTCTCAGCGCTCTAAATGCCGTCCTCCAAAAGGCATGTACTTAACTCAAGAAGACGTAGTAGCGGTTTCATGTAGCCCCAATGCCGCCAATACACTTCTTAGGCAGCTGGATATGGAGTTGATCTCGCTGAAGCGACAGGTATTTTAATTATCAGGTTTGCTTCTAGGAGTTTTTTTTTTCCTGTCCTTAATACTTTAGGATCTAGTAAACAGGGAAATCTGAAACATGCCTGTTAAAGTGAGATGGTAGATTAAAAAATACATTCAGCATGCAAGTCTCTGGTTACTAAAAATAGGTTCATGAGCTGAGACTTGGCATAACTTGGTTTTTTCAAGACTGCATAGATCTAAACTTTTTGACTTCAGTATAAGAAAATTCACTGTCAGTTTTAAAGTGTGGTTTTATCAATATCTTAATCCTGTTTTGAACTGCTCTAGATAGATTTTATAATTGTATATGGTAGAGGTATGCAGACTTTCTTGGTTCACAGTACCGTTAGTGTTTTACTAATTTTTTCACAGCACTCCTAGGTTTGTAGTTTGCACAGTGTCCAACAGATGTCAGGTATCACTGTGTTATCCCGCAGCACCCCTGTGAGTTTGCTGTGGTGTCCTGGAGTGTCGTGCTGCAGTTTGGCAACCATGTGTGTATAGCATTTTGATTTCTGGTAGACTATCAGTCCCTTTGAATAGGAAAAAATGGTGTAGAAAGATAATAAATAAAAGTATACTCTTTCTAATGCTTTCCCATTTGCAGCAATATAAATGTCTAAATGGAAATATGATTTTACATAAACACAAAATAGCATACAGGTAGTCCTCACTTAACGACACAATAGGGATTGGAAAAAGGGTCGTTAAGCAAGTCACCACATGACAGGACCCAATTTCATGACAATCTTAACAACGGTTGTTAAGCGAATCACTGTGGTCATTAAGCAAATCCAGTTTCCCCAATGGACTTTTTTGCTGGAATTCATCATTTAAGAAATTGTAAATTGTGATCACGTGACTATGCGGGTGGTGCAACAGTTTGCGACAGTCATAAGTGCAAGTACAGGTCATAAAGCACTTTTTCAAGGCCGTCATAACTTTGAACCATCATTAAATGAACAGTCGTTAAGCAAGGACTACCTGTAGCATGGTAAAACATGGAGAAAGGAGAAAAAGTAAGTGGTGGTCTTATTCTCTGATGCCTAATCTCAAGAGCTTAGTAGTAGGATTAATGATTTTCTGAAGATTTCCAATGGTTGAAGCAGGTAGCCCTGATTCTTAACTATGTGTAAGCAGATAATGATATTTCTGTCAGCTTTTAATCCAGGAATTCAAGATCTCATTGGAAGCCATCATTTTTTTTTCCTTGTTTATTTTATAGTTTCTTTATGCCATTTCAATCAATACAGATTTTAGGTGGTACACAGAAAGAAAACACAATCCTAAACCTACATTTAAATGAACTATCTAATCCATTTAAACAAACTATCTAATATTTAGATAGTTAAGCACATTTTACTGACCAGGTTTATACTTTGTGTGTGGAAGCAGGCAATTGCTTGGCTCCCGTAGACAAGTTTCATCTCTTCAGAAGTTTCAGAAGCTTGTTTTTTGTTTTTGTTTAAGGCATTTCGTTTAATTTTCAGATAATCATTTAGCAGTTGATATTTATACCATTTTGAAACAGCTAATTTTCATTCCTGTTTTGTTCATTGGACAAGGTCCAGAATGCTAAGCAAGTAAACAGTGCACTTAAGCAGAAAATTGAAGGTGGAATAGAAGAATTCAAACCTCCTGAGGTGAGTCACTAAAATGTAGATGAATTTTCAGTATTGTTGTTATTCTGCTGGGAACTGAAGAATATTCTGAAAGTATTTTCATTTGTGACATATTAACTAATTTTTGCTTAAACTGATGAATAAAGCTAATAGGAACCCCATATAGGTTTGAAAGCATTTTTAAAATGTATCTAAAATATTTTCAGATATTTTATCAAGTAACAACATTTCATTCAAGGCAAGTTCAAAAGTAAATTTAATGCCATCATAAAATCATAAACAAGACTTAATAACTCTTCAATTACTTTTTGAAAGGATTGTTCCAATTATATTACTGCTCCAGATTGTAGTCATTAGTTGGCATACAAAATTCAGTGAGATTTTCAGTGCACATACCAGTCTCTGTAAGGGATTTTCTCATTCTTTTCAACTCTGGAATGGCCTATGCTTCAGATGCATACATAGAACAATCTTCTGCATTAAAAAGAATGGGGACAGCACCTTCTTACAGGAAGGGCTATAGCTCAGTAGAAAAGCACATGCATTGCAGGCAGAGGGTCCCAACTTCCAAATGTCCCTGTCATTTTCATATAAGGTTTGGAAAAATTCTTGTTTGAAACTTTGGAGAATCACTGCCAGTTTTAGACAATATGCTTTGGATGTCAGCTGCTGTTACTTTAGCTAGCATGCCCAGTAGCGAGGGTTGATGGGAGTTGTGGTTCAAAACATCTAGAAAGCATCAGTTTACCTACCATAGAGATAGACCAAGAGTCTAATGTTTTAAAAGATATTTTCCTATTCCTAATTCAGTTAATGGAGTTCTGGGAAAAATATCTGAGCTATTAAAATTGGCAAATGTAAATCCAGGTAATGGAATTGAAAGGCGGTATTGTGGCTGAAATTTTCACTGTTGTTTTCAGATATTTAATGGTTTGCTATGTGCTCTGTCATTCTTTATTTCTTAATAGTCAAATCAAAAAATAAATGCCCGTTGGACAACAGAAGAGCAACTTCTTGCAGTTCAAGGTACACTAGTGTTACTAATATTTTCTTTCAGGCTGAAATTCTTTACATTCTGAAAACATTTTTTTTTAAAGTGTATGTGGCCAGTACCTTAGCATCCCTTGTATCTGCTGGGGTAGGAAGAAGTGGCAAGTGATGAAATAGGTATCATGATACAAAACCACAACATAGATATTTGTGCTCAAATTTTGGGATGCTAACAAGTAAGGGTGCACTGTGACATAATTTCATCATCTTAAATCTCAGCTGTAGAAACATATCCATAGTGTGACTGGTTTAAAATAGATAAGGATTTATTGTATGATGTTTTATTAATAGAAATGTTTTAAAACCTCCCAGGCATTATAGTTTATAAAAAACTAAATGTATATAAAATGAAAATAGCAAGTTGAAAGATAAATAAAATAAAATAGCGTAGATTCAAAGCAGCTCACCCATCACCATCTTGAGGCCATCCCCCCCCCCCATTTTTTAAAAAGAGGTGGCCAACTGCAAAAAAAAAGAAGGGATGACTTTCCTAATGGGAAAGCTGGGAAAAGTTGAGATATAGACATTCTTTTGAAAAGGAATCTTGCTAGAGATGATTCTGTTATAAAATTGTCACTGAAAGCTTTAATCTCTTTTAGGATACAATTTAAACATTTATCT